ATGAACACGCGTTCGCGTGTATAATTACCAGTTTATCGTTATTGAAAACATGATCAGCCAAACTGCAATCTTATGACGAATGCTCCAACCGTACAATTTTCGCGCATGCGCATTAGGGACTTGGGCGGCGATGACGACGGAGACGTTTCTTAATAAAAATTTTATACATTTCGACTTTGCATCATATTATCTACGTTCACGATACACGTAGAAAAGAAATAAAGACACTTTCATTATATGATTTAAACTCAAGCTATTAATTAAGCTTATTAAAAATACGATCGGTTCAGCCGTTATTGAGGTCCGATAATCTAAGGTACTCGCAACTGTCCGACTCGTGTATAGATACCCGGAGTGCCTCGCGGCTTCGCGTGAACTTGGCGCGAGACACTACCGTGTCTCTTGATACATAATTTGTTGACATATTAAATACATAATATGTTAACACATCTTACGGTAAAGTTGTTTGGACATACTTCCATAAAATAAACATTACAAATACCAGAGTTGGGAACGTTACTTTGTAACGGTAGGACCGTTACTACGGTCATACAGGACTTGCTTCACCCCGCTCTACCGATCATGCGCTCTCGCTCACCCGCACGCTCTATCTCTCTCGCGGTGTCCCCACGCGGTACCGATTCCCATCTCCGGACGCTCCTGATACCGATCTCTCCAGCTACCTACTACCTCTTGGGGCTGAGGCTGAACTCAGCTCCGTCGGGTTGTACTGACACGCTCTACCTGGAGTCAAGGTTGCCCTCGACTCCGCCGGGTTGGACCGGCTCCTGCCTACACCGCTCCTGGAGTCGAGGTTGCCCTCGACCCCGCCGGGTTGCACCGGCTCCCGCCTCTACCTGGGGCCAAGGCTGTACTTGGCTCTATCGGGCTGAACCAACTTCCGTTGCTTAGGCAGTGCTCGACGTGACACTCGAGCCTGCCGGCAATACCTAGCCGCCTAACCTGATAGTAGCTTGTAAGTGCATGTACAGACCGCGCTGTAGATATTTGCCGCATGACATATATAAGTCCGATAGCTATAACCGTGATAGTAATAAGCCTGCTAGTCTTAAGTTTGTTAGTAATAAGACCTGCCTAGTAATAAGTCCGCTAGTTATAAACGCATTTTATGCTGTGTTCCGATTCCCCACCCGAGTGCACCCGATATTATAGTATACGTGACATATACTATAATATCGGGTGCACTCGGGTGGGGAATCGGAACACAGCCTTAGTAATAAGACCTGCCTAGTAATAAGACCTGACAGCTAGTTATAACTATACCGTAGTATTCAGCTTATTAGCAATAGAGCCTGTTCATAGTTGCACCGACCGCGCATGTAAATAAAACCGTTAAGGTGCCTTTACATGGCAGCGTCAAGCGTCGAGCGTCTGCGTAGAAAATTGCGCAGAATCTAATTTCAGCCTAGAATCTATCTCTTTTAAATTCTGCGCATTTTTCTGCGCAGACGCTCGACGCTTAATGCTGCCATGTAAAGGTGCCTTTACTGCCTGCCTGCCGCGCCTGTCTTGCGCTTCGCACCGCTCTGCGCCACTCGCTTTGCGTTTCCGCGTTGCGCTCCGCAAATCCTGCTACCAGCAACCGCATTCACCGCACGATATTGCCAGACCCTGCACGCTGTATCTATCTTTCTCTCACTGAATAAACTATCTTTTCTACCTATACTGTGTTTCGTAAGCTTAAGTCTCCTCTCCTCTCGAACCCGGACACCGACGAGCCGATCCGAGCATCGAGCGAGGTGACCGCGTTACAACTTTATAAAAGTAACTCGTTACCGTTACCGTTATTTTCTCTGAAAAGTAACTCGTTACCGTTACTCGGTACCGATTTTAAAAAGTAACTCGTTACCGTTACCGTTACTCAAAAACTAACGAATCGTTACTATTTCCGTTACTTTGTTTATAATATATTAATTCGATACTATATAATATATTAATATTAAATTAGTATATTATAATTAATACTAATATAATACATGAATTCTTAATATTAATATAGAAATACCAAGTTTACATTTTTATACTTCTTTATTAATTTATAATATATATAAACCATAAACTATATTATAATATAAATTGTTAATTAATAATATAAATTCTTAATCTCTTAAGGTAAATCACAATCTTTCCTTTATCAAATAAATTTTACCAAAACATTTTATCTATTTTTAAGAGAAGTTGATGCTCCACGATATCATCATTTAGTTGACATCTTTGCGGCTTTAATATAAGAAGATGATTGATTGGGTACGGCATTCTTACCATGCGTAACGCATTGACGCGTTCTATGTTCCAGAGCCATTAGTCAAAAACAAAGTAACGATAGAAGTAACTGTTAAAATCGTTACTCGTTAGTGAAAAAATGTAACGGCATTACCGTTACCGTTACAGACAACGAAAAGTAACACCGTTACCAATTTGTTACCAAAAAAAAGTAATTGTAACGGTAACGGCGTTACAAGTAACGCGTTACTTCCCAACCCTGACAAATACAAAGGCGCTGGTGAGGAGCGAATGAAGTAAAAACATTTAATATTTAAGAAGAATAAGAACGTTTTACATACACTTTTACGCAGACCGTAGCACTTGTTTGAACATACTTCCATAAAATAAACATTCCAAATACAAAGGCGCTGGTGAGGAGCGAATGAAGTAAAACATTTAATATTTAAGAAGAATAAGAACGTTTTACATACACTTTTACGCAGACCGTAGCACAGCGCAGAGTGATTCTCGATTTGGTTGTCTCAACGCGATTCACTGTGTGATAGTTTGTAGTTTTCATTTGGGAAGGAGTCAAGTTGGCAGCAGGCAATTAATAGAGATAAAATCAGGTAAGTGATTTATTTACATATTATAATTATTTAAAAAAAATTTTTTTAATCTGTTATATAAATAATCAAATAAATCAAATCAAATTTTAAAAAATAAGAAATAACAAAAGTGAAAATGGCAATGAAAAATATAATAAAATTATCAAATTACAACATAAATATACAGCAAAATGCATGGTTGGAAGATGCCCGTATGGACGCATTTCAAATGTTATTAAAAAATTGCTCTTCTTTCTGTCTTCGTGATACATGGAGAATTCAATGTCCCGAAAAAATAGAGCCTATTTCAGCAATGTAAAATCATATATAAATCTTGCATAGCAGTATTTCGAAATATGATGGTCACTGGTTATGTGCTATATCAAAGTAATATACATATATTATTTAAATGTGTTATTATTAATATTAAATTAAAATAAATGTATTTTCGACTTTGATCGCGATGGAATAATAATGCGGAGCCCATGTGACAACGAAGAAATTAATTTACATGTAATTAGATGCAATCTCAAACATTCCCGCCCGCCTCGGCACTCCGTGCCGAAATAAATTCGCGCGCCAAGGAACAGGTGTTGCGACTTGGCTTATGGTCCGATTGATTAGCGCGTTCGATCTGGAATGCGCGATCGAGTGAAGCGGGGTGGCGAGCGGGAGTGCGGGGAGAAGCGCTCATTCATTGAAGTTGTGTATCGCGTCGCGTAAGGTTACGCACGAGTGCGGTGTTATTGAGTTTACGTGATGAATGAATGAGTATGTTTCCACCGAGGGTTCGAATCGGGTCAAAGTTGGGTCAGAGTAGGGTCAGAGTCGGGTTGGCTTGCCTGTTTGCACCGGATCAGAGCTGAGCAGAGTTACACTAGGGTTGCGATAAGATTAGATGATACAAATTGTACAAAGTACAGCTACAACTCTCAGTATCCTGACATATTAAGGTTAAATTTTTAAAACAAAATATTATGGATCCGGGAGCGATAATGTTAATTTCACAGTATCAAAGTAATATGCAGAAATTATTCATTATTGTAAAAAATATATAAGTATTCGTATAACCACAACACGATGTACACAGCACAATTTCCTTCTGTTGGCAACACTGCAACTAACTCGACTCTTGTCGTTTCCACCGAACCTCATTTGGACCCTACCTTAAAATTTTATTGGGTAGAGTTCAACTTTAAGTTTGGTGTTTCCACTGTAAGAACGCTCACCCCAACCCGACTCTGATTCGACTCTGACCCGATTCGAGCCCTCGATGGAAACATACTCATTAATTCACAGTGAGAAAATGTATGCAAGTGAACAGTTGAAATTGAAGATGTGTTGGCAAAAGGCCGTGCAGTCGTGCGTGCGGTTGTGAATTTAACGATTTTTTTTTAAATTGCGGTGAGAGCGTTGCAGCGAAGACAAAAAAAGGAGAATCCTCGAAAGAACTATTGCGAAATGTAAGAGTGAACGCGGCGCGGCCCGTCGGATTAAATTCTACGGTATTTTTATTTCTTAGACTAGTACAAAAGTGCGGTTTTTTTTCTTTCTTTTTCGTGTCGGCGGTGAAGTTTCGGTGACGCTGGAAAGTGTCGCGAGCTTGGTGAGTGGTCGGCTGGGCTCTGTTGTGGGTGTCCAAATGGTCGCCACGCGCACGACGTCGTCGTCTCCGGGGTGCCGCGTGATGATGCGGGCGAGGGGCCATCGGCTCGGCACGATGTACACGGTACAATTTCCTTCTGTTGGCAACACTGCAACTAACTCGACTCTTGTCGTTTCCACCGAACCTCATTTGGACCCTACCTTAAAATTTTATTGGGTAGAGTTCAACTTTAAGTTTGGTGTTTCCACTGTAAGAACGCTCACCCCAACCCGACTCTGATTCGACTCTGACCCGATTCGAGCCCTCGATGGAAACATACTCATTAATTCACAGTGAGAAAATGTATGCAAGTGAACAGTTGAAATTGAAGATGTGTTGGCAAAAGGCCGTGCAGTCGTGCGTGCGGTTGTGAATTTAACGATTTTTTTTAAATTGCGGTGAGAGCGTTGCAGCGAAGACAAAAAAAGGAGAATCCTCGAAAGAACTATTGCGAAATGTAAGAGTGAACGCGGCGCGGCCCGTCGGATTAAATTCTACGGTATTTTTATTTTTTTTTATAACTAGTGTACAAGAGAGCGGTTTTTTGTCGGCGATGATGTCTCGGTGATGCTGGGAAGCAACACGAGCTTGGTAAGTGGTCGGATGAGCTCTATGGTGGGTGTCCGGATGGTCACCACGCGCACGACGTCGTCGCCTCCGGGGTGCAGCTTGATGATGCGGGCGAGGGGCCATCGGCTCGGCAGGGTTGTCTCGGAGCGGAGTAAGCAAAGCGTGCCGATGTTGGGAGCCACCTCAGGTCCCAGCCACTTCGGTCGAAAGGTAAGTCCGTGAAGGTATTCTCGGGACCATCTTTGCCAGAAATGGTCCCTCATTTTTTGCACCAGTTGCCATCGCGATATGTGAGTGTCCCTTTGTTCGGTCCGCGATGGCTCCGGTACGGCGAGAAGCGGGGCGCCAATGAGGAAGTGTCCGGGTGTTAGTGCGGTGAAGTCGTCGGGGTCGTCGGATAAGGCGTGGAGTGGCCTTGAATTTAGGCAGGTCTCCACTTGTGTGAGGAAGGTGCTGAACTCCTCAAATGTTAGCGTGGCTTCCCCGATGATTCGTCTCAAGTGGTGTTTTGTGGATTTGACGGCCGCCTCCCAGAGCCTCCCGAAGTGCGGCGCGGCGGGTGGGTTGAAGTGCCATCGCACTCCCTGTGAACTCGTGATGTGCGCGATACGACGGCCGTCGGACGTTGATCCTTGGAAGAGTTTTCTCAATTCGCGGTCTGCGCCAATAAAGTTGGTGCCGCAATCAGAGTATAAGTCCGTGCACAGGCCGCGACGTGAAGTGAATCGGCGGAAGGCGGCCAAGAAGGCCTCGGTTGTATAGTCCGAGGCCAACTCTAAGTGCACGGCTCGTGTACAAAGGCACACAAAAACGGCGATGAAGCCTTTGTACGCTCGATGTCCTCGCCCTTTGGACGTCCGGATTTGGAACGGGCCGACGTAGTCCACGCCGGTGTGGAGGAACGGGCGTCCAGGAGTGACTCGGCTGCGAGGAAGATTCCCCATCTGTGGTTGCGGTGCGGTGGCTCGTCATCGGGTGCACGTCACGCATCGGTGGAACAGTTGCTTGACGACGGCCCGTCCTCGCGGAATCCAGACGCGTTGACGGAGCAAGCCCAGCGTGAGCTGTACTCCGCCGTGTAGAGTTTTTTGGTGACACGAGTCTACCAGAAGTCGAGTCAGCCATGAAGTTGATGGGGCGATCATCGGGTGTCGTTCGTCGTTTGACAGGATGGCGTGCTTGAGTCGCCCTCCAACTCTCAGCACGCCGTCATGATTCAGGAATGGGCTCAGCTTTGATAGAGGGCTGCGGTGGGCGACGATGCGGTTGGCGCTTAGAGCGGCGATTTCGTCGGCGTAGTGTATTGACTGCACCACGCGGAGCCATCGGTGCAGCGCTTCATCGAGCTCGGCCGGTTCAAGAACCGGCTTTGGTGTTGCGTCGCCGGGAAGTCGTTCGTGAGCGGCTGAGCGTCGCCATCGAAGGCACCACGCTGTCACCCTGAAAAGCCGGTGCAGAGAGAAAAATCTGAGCAAATTCTCGGGCTCGGTTTCCTCGTTGGCGGCGGCGTGGTGCGTGGACGCTTTCTTCTCGGACGGTTCGCCCTTGGGAGCCTCTAGGTTCTTCTCCGGCCAGCAGCGTTCGTCCTTCAGAAGCTAGTTGGGACCCGTCCACCACAGCTGATGGAGTACAAGCTCGCTGGGAGCTATTCCTCTTGATGCGCAGTCAGCCGGGTTTTCTCGTCCAGGTATGTGTCCTCCACTGGGCCTCCGGGAGCAGCGTCTGGATCTGGGCGACTCGGTTGGCCACGTACGTCTTCCACTTCGAAGCGTATCCTTGGATCCAATAGAGAGTGACCTTGGAGTCGGACCAAAGAAATATTGGCGCTGCAAAAAGACTCAACACAATGCGGAGATGGTGAGTAAGCGTCACTAATAAAGATGCAGCGCAAAGTTCAAGGCGCGGTAACGATATTTGTTTAATCAGAGCAACTTTGCTTTTTGCAGCTAGGAGGTGGATCGTCGCGATGCCGTTGGTCACGGTGCGGAGATACACGGCGGCGGCGTAGCCTCTCTCAGAGGCATCCGCGAAACCGTGTATTTGGAGGATTGAGGCTTCCTCTCCCGTGCGAAGCCAGCGGTGAACCTGTATTTGTTCGAGTTGCGGAAGCTCCTCGAGGAGGAGTCGCCACTGTTGGGCATCGGATGGTGGAAGCGGAGCATCCCAATCCAGTCCTTGGAGCCAGGCGGATTGGATTAGGATCTTCGCGCGGATAATTACTGGAGCCAGCCAGCCCAGCGGATCGAAGAGTCTCTGCGAGGACTCGCCTCTTCGTATATTCGGTCATCGTGTGGGTTGGATCGCGAACGCGGAATGGTCGTTGCGCGCCTGCCATCGGAGACCCAGCGTGGGATGGAGCTCATCCTCCCAGGTGTGCTGAGCTTTGAGGAGCCGGTGCTCCTGCGGGACTCCGGTGAGGGTCTCCTCGCGGTTAGAAGCCCATTTTTGCAACGGAAACCCGCTCGCCATGCAAAGACCGCGGAGTTCGTGCTGCAGCGTTGCTGCCTCTGACTTCGTGTTGGCGCCCGATACGATGTCGTCGTCGTAACAGTCACGTCGAAGAGCGGCGGCACCGAGAGGAAAGCGAGACTCTTCGTCGTCGGCGAGCTGGCGCAGAGTTCGAATCGCGAGGAACGGCGCGCACGCGAGACCGTATGTTACGGTGTTCAAGCGGTATTCCTGGACCTCACGCGTGTTGTCGCGACGCCATAGCACGCGCTGGAAGTCACGGTCGTCGGGGTGCACGAGAATTTGGCGGTACATATTTTCGATGTCCGCCACGATGGCGTAGCGATGCCACCGCCAAGGAGGACGTCGGCGAGCGCGGGAAGGAGGTTAGCTCCCAAGAGGAGCTGCGAGTTCAGCGATTCTCCTGACCGGATGCGCTGCGACCCATTGAAAACAACGCGAAGTTTGGTGGTGATGCTCGACTCACACAACACTCCGTGATGTGGTAGGTAGCAGATCCTGTTGCCCTTGACGTTTGCGGTTGACTCTTTGCTGATTTCGCTCATGTGTTTCAGGTGCTCGTACTCCAGCATGAACGAGCGGTATAACTCGCCGAATGAAGAGTCCCGGCTGCTTTTCCGCTCCATTGCGGTCAGCAGTCTCTCGGCTGACTTGCTGCGTGTCTTTTAGGTTCCTTGGCGTCGTGGCGAACGGCAGTCGAACGACGTACCGTCCATTACTCAAGCGAGTGTGCGTCTGCACGAAGAACTTCTCGTTTCTTCCTCGGGTGCGAGAGCGGTGGGGGCGAGGGAAACCTCCTCTTGCTCCCAAAAGCGGCGGACCATCGTTGTGAGGTCGTGTTCTGCGGTGCACTGGAGTGAGTTAAGGTGACCATGCAGCGTCGCAACGCTACATCCTCCCGACAGAATCCATCCCAAGATGGTGTTCTGTGCCATGGGAGCTTGCGGTCCACCCTTGCGGATTCCATCCTTGAAGATCGACGAGCAGATCTCTGCTCCGAGAAGCAGCTCGACTGGGTCGGTGGCCATGTACTCCGGGTCGGCTAGTGGCAGTCCCTTGATGTGTGGCCATCCTTTGCGTTGTTGCGGTGTGGAACTTCGATACGAGGAGAGGCGCGGAAGCACAAAGGCGACAACGGAACACGTCTCTCCGGTCACTCTTAACGTGACTTTGAGCGCTACCTTGCCACGCGAAGCACCGGACAGCGATCCGCCGATCCCGAAGATCGTCACGGAAGAGTGCTTTCGCCTACGCCTCCAACGAAAGCACTCTTCCGTGACGATCTTCGGGATCGGCGCACCTCTGTCCGGTGCTTCGCGTGGCAAGGTAGCGCACAAAGTCGTTGCACCAGCGATTCGGTGACGATGGATACCTCGGATCCCTGGTCGATTAAGACGCGAACGGAATGAAGCTCTCCGTAGCAATCAGCGACGAGAACGCGCGCGGTCGCAAGAAGAATCGCTTTGCGGTCATCGCTTTGTTTAATTGCGGAGAGAGCGGTTGCATCGGTAGTCTTCGAGGTCGCGTACGCATCGTGCAACATCGAGTGATGCCGCCCCTTGCAAGACCAGCAATTCCTGGTCGATTGACACCTCGCAACAGGATGACTGCCGAGGCAGTTGTAGCACGCATAGTCGATGCGCTTCGACGAAGGATCGACGTTCGTTGACGGGCTTTGCTTTGAACTGCCCGCACACCATGAGCGCGTGTCGCTCCTTGCACAAGGCGTACTGTGCCGCGTTGGATTCGTGTCTAGTGAAGTGAGTTTTCGCGGGCTTCGATAAGTCTCCGGAGACCTTGACGGTTTTCGGTTTTGCGGCGTTAAGCGTGAGCATTCGCTTAGTGATGAAGTTCAATAGTGTCTCGTGATTCGGAGGCTCGAATAAATCGCTCGTGGATGATTTCCACTCGAGCCTAGTGCGCGCATCGAAAAGTTCAACGACCAAGTGATTAAAGAGGTCCATCCCGTGCGATTCAATCGGCCGCCCGATGCTTTCTTGCGCGTTCACGGCGATCGTTACGGCGTGATAAACACGGCTCAGTTCTTCCGCGGTTTCGCCCTTCATTTTTGATACGGCGGAGAATGTGGCAAAGTTCGACCAAATGAGTTCTTTCTTGTTTTCGAAGTCTTCTTCAAGATTGCCCAAGCGCGCTCGTAATTCTCCCCGGTAACCGCTAACGGACGTATCAATTTTTCCGCAGGTCCTTGCAGGCACGAACGTAGGTAATGGAACCGTTCGATGGGAGAAACTGCGGAATTTGTACCGATCACGGACAGGAATAAATCACGGAAGGACGGCCAGTCTTCATACGCGCCTGAGAACGGAGGTAACTTGATTTTTGGCAACGCGGTTTTTAACGAGCGATCACTATTTTGCTGCTCGTTAGACGACGCCGACGGAGGAGGAGCAGCTCGGTGCTGCTCCGCATATTCGGCGAGCTTGCCGCGTTGTTGAACGTAAGTATTTTCTACGGCATCAACAAAAGCAGTCGCGTTGCAGCACTCACTCTCGCTGTATCTTTCCTTATAGCTGGTGCGGATGAGCTCATGCTGTGTCTCGAACTTGGCCCACAGTTGATCCTGGATCTTGATCCGGGCCTCGATGCTGCCGAGGTTGATGCCAGCTGCACCTAACTTGCGTAGATTTTCCACTGATCTTGACATGCGACCGTGGATGTCGCGTTGAGCTTGCAGCAAATTGTTTAAGTCTGCGCATATTTTGTAATGTTTGTCTGTCCTTTTTCAGGTTTCACTCACAAACTCGCGGCTGCCGGCGATGATCCGGCTCGAAGGACCAGAAAATGTTTGAGAGCGAGGCGAAATAGGACGAGTGTGCGAGGATGCTTTGATCGCGATGGAATAATAATGCGAAGCCCATGTGACAACGAAGAAATTAATTTACATGTAATTAGATGCAATCTCAAACAGACTTTTTTTTAAAATAAATTTTTTGAACTTATCGATTTTGTATCATTTTATAAATTCATTGCGTAGTACAAGAATATTTTCATTTAGCATTTATTAATACAACATAGTAGCATTTATTTATTATTACAATATAAAATATAAATATTAACAAATATGCAAAACATGAAAAAACAAAGAGAAAAAGTGAGAACAAAAATATTATTGCAATTATTAAAACATGATGATAGTTGCACGCACGCACGCACGTATATATTTTTTTAATATTGGATTGAACGGAAAGTTCGTGGTTTTTTCGGTCTTCATCTGTTAGCAAGAAACGGCATGAACTTTCTGTTCAACCTAATATATTGATGTGATTAATATTTTAAAATAAACTTTGCAAAAATATGTGAAATCCGTCTAAAAAGACATCACAGATGTAAAAAAAAGCGTATCTCGTAAGTATATCTTTAGTAAGTATATCTCGTAAATCGTAAGTATATCTTTCTCCAGCCAAAATAGTCCTTTACAAAAATTAATCGCCATCAGAAATATCTTCTCTAAAAT